AATATGGCTTAGATGGATGGGATTTGGAATTGGACTCATGATAGGAGTTTTAAGGTTCGGGAAAGAGGGCGCGACTTTGCACTTGGTCCTTAGGTAGCGGGATGGAGGCATGGCGGCAAGAAGGCGTGAGCACCTCTCACGCCCATTAGAAGCGCTGCGGCAAGAGCTCGCTCTTGATGCCCCTTATTGAGTGCTTCTTCTTGCGGTGCGTGGACAGGTTGCAGGACTGCTTGAAGGAGGCGGTGCACATATCACAGTTGAATCGCCGCTCCTTGCTGTGCACCACCCGATGCAGCTCCATGCGCGACTTGTACTTGAACTTCAGTCCACAGGTGCCATAATCGCAGATATACCAACGCTCGCCGTCATCCGACGACACGGCGCTGCTCGCGCTAGCCGTCGTGCTATTCGAGTCCTTTGGCAGCAGCTCCTGRCCGCCGGCCAGCAACGGTATGCACGACTGCTGCAGCACCACAGCGGCGGCGGCGGCGGCAGCAGCAGCCGCCGCATTAGCATTGACATTCACATTAACATTAGAGCCGCCCACCACTGGACCGGCCAATGCGGTATGCGAGAGTGGCGGCGGCGGCGGGGGCGTGGCTGTTGCTGCTATTGTTGCGCTCGTCGTCGGAGTTGTCACTGTGCCCGCGTTCACAAAGCAGGACGTCGATGCCGGCGGCGGAGGCGGCGGTGCCACTGGCACCACTTGCGACAAATGGTAAATTGTGGTGTTGGCGTTGCTCCCAGCTGCTGCGGCTGCCGCTGCCACCTGCATATCCGGCGGTAGGCTCAAGCTGGTGGGCTCCACTTTGATATCGATGCTGCTGCCTCCACCGGCTCCGCCGCAGACGCTGCTGCTGCTGCTGCGCGCACTGTGATCGCCAGCGGCAGCAACTGCCACGGCATGCAGCTCCGCCAGATCCTTGGCCGTATCCCGCTGTTGTTGTTGCTGCTGTTGCTGCTGAAGCTGCATCTGTTGTTGCTGTTGCTGTTGTTGCTGCTGTTGTTGTTGCTGTTGCTGCTGCTGTTGTTGCTGCTGTTGTTGTTGCTGTTGCTGCTGCTGTTGCTGCTGATTTTCCTGTTCCTGCTCCTCCTCGTTGTACTTGGCACAGTGATACAATGCCAGCGGCATGGGCAACGTTGGCAACGTTGTTGTACTACCCGCGGCAGCCGCATCCACGTCCGTCAAGCAATAATTGGAGCTGCGACCATGCTCCTGTTTACACAAACACAAACACATGAAAACAAAAATTTTGGGCGCCAAAATAACATAAAAAGGGAAACATAACATGCACGAGACTGAGCACATCGGGGCGGTCGGTGCGGCTGCTGGCTCTGGTGCTTACCTTGGCGAGGCCGTGCAGAAAGTTGTGCTCATCTTGGATGTGCTTCCAAAAGGCGTCCTGCGTCTGCAGCTCCTCCTGGCATGTGTGGCAGACGATCCAGAAACTGTCGCCTGATAGACAGAACTCGCCAAGCTTTGTGTAGATTTTATTGTTCTTACTGAGAATGCGCGGAAAGCCCATTGCGTTGACGTTGTTGGCGACGCCTCGGGGCCGTGCGTTGCGTTTTATTATTATTATTTATATGAATGTTTTGTTGGCTGGCCGCAGTACAGGGTTGCATTTAACAAGCTATGCATTTTGTGGCGATGTATCGAATGTAGATATCGATGTTGCGCGGCACATTTCGCAACACACAAACACACATGGCGTTGCCACCTGGGACTGATTTCAAAATCCCGCCTAACATTTCAGTTGATTTTAAAGAAAAACACGTTTCATATATTTTTTAGCATTTTTTGTTTTTAAATTTATTTTGCTTAATTCGTCTGCAAGTTCAT